GCACGGCGGAAATGCCTTAATCACCTCGTTTGCATCTCTGTTTCAAGTTTAATTTGATACAGTGCCTCCTCTCCCCGGCCAAAAGAAAAATCCCAAACATCTCCCAGCCGTTCTCAGCAGCACAAATCTTGATCTTTCTCATTGCTCAGAAAACAAAAGATGAGCCCTGGTGCCCGCCACTTCTTTGCAAAGGAGCTTTGACCCCCGTGCGCCTGTCTGCATCTGGGCAGCCAGTTCTGGGCATCGGGAGGAGAGGGTCAGTGGTGGATCCCATTCTGCCTGGCTGGAAGCTCCATCCTCCCCTAGCACCATGATCTGGTCTCCACCACACCCACAGAGACACCCCCTTACCTCTTCCCCCTTCTTGCTTTTCAGAGGAGGAGGACGTGCAAGATGTCCCTACCGGTACCAGTGAGGGCCAGTTTGGTCAGTCTCGGAGATTGGAGCCCTTCTGCTTCCAATCACTCAGGGCAATTCCCTGAAGTCTGTGTTTCTGTTTAAGGAAAAGACAGTCTGGCTGCAGCTGCAGTTTAGATGGGTACAAGCAATGCATTTTATAGGACACATTTAATGAAAAAAAAATGTATGAAAGGAAAGCTGTAGTTATGATAGAAAGTGTTAAAAGGGAAGCAGGGGACAGAAAGGAGCTTGGCATGTGTCTTGGACTGCAAAACCAGGGAAAAAACCCTCAGGCACCAAATTGCCCCGCACACCCTGCTGAGAAATCTGAAAACCTCCCTTCGGGTACCGCACTCTGCCTCGCTCAACAGGCAGGACTGAAGCAGGGCTCCTAGAAAAATGCTAATACAGGTGGGAATTCAGGACAACTTTTCCAGCTCTAGGGGGGAAAGTGAGGCATCCTCCTTGCCAGGCACCTCTTTTTAGTCCTTGCGCTCCCCTAAAGCAGCTCCCCGCCAGCTCCCCAGCACGGTCTATGCCTGCCACACTCAGAGCATCCCTCCAGAGGTGTCAGCAGTTCCCTGGTTTCAGCTGGGATAGAGTTAATTTTCTTCCTAGTAGCTGGCACAGAGCTGTGTTTTGGATTCAGTACTAGAAGAACGTCGATAACTCACTGATGGTTTGGTTGTTGCTGAGCAGGGCTTACACCAGTCAGGGGCTTTTCAGCTTCCCCTGCTCTGCCAGGGGCACAAGAAGCTGGGAGGGGGCACGGCCAGGAGAGCTGACCCCAACTGGCCCAAGGGCTATTCCAGACCATAGGGCATCATGCCCAGTATAGAAACTGGGGGGAGTTGGCTGGGGGGCAGCGACCACTGCTTGGGGACGGGCTGGGCATCGGTCAGTGGGTGGCGAGCAATTGCATCGTGCATCACTTGCTTTTATATTCTTATTCATACTTGTATTCATATTCTTATTCTTAGTTATTATATTTTATTTCAATTATTAAGCTGTTCTTATCTCAACCCATGTTTTCTCACTTTTACCCCTCCAATCCTCTCCCCCACCCCACTGGGGTGGGGCAGGGTGTGAGCGAGCGGCTGCGTGGGGCTTGGTTGCCGGCTGGGGTTAAACCACGACAAGCAGCAATGTTCAGACAAGCATTTGGGAGCAGGAACCTTTCAGGGACTCGGGGAAACACGTGGTACCTTCCCAGAATGGATAAATGCACCAACCTGAACCCGCACAAGCCCGCTGCCAAATCGTCAGTTCTTGCTCCAAGGCCTGGAGGTGCCAGGACTGGTTAGCAGCAGTAGGAAAAACATCTCTCTGTGGGAAAACAGCTCGTTTTGCCAACCTTGTTCTGTGAAACAGTTGAACTGTGCCTTTTGAAACAGTGGGAACTCTTCAGCGCAAACAGTTAAAGTCTGGAAGCAGAAAAGCAGAGGTGACGGAAAGTGTACAAGGCAGAGCTGATGAGAGATGTTCCTGGCCAGCTCTTTCGAACACATGTACTCCTGATGGCGGTCAAAATAGCTTTGGGACACTGTACACATGGCTGTGCTCGAAAGACCTCCTCTTCCTTGGGTCAGGGAGAATTTGACTGCTCTGGGCCTGACAACAGCCTGGCAGAGGTGCAGGCGTCCTGGCAAGGTGGCAACCCAGACCAAGCTCTAACGAAGCACAGAAACTGTGCCATGTTCAAGAATTACTCCCAGCTCAGGTGATGGAAGGGCTTGGAAGGCAGCTCCAAAGCTGGCTTAACTTTGTGTCAAAGCCCTAAAAGTCTGTAGCACATTTATTTCAGAGGGGACTAAAAACCATCGATGGGAACCACCCATGGAGGAGGGTCCTCACCAGTGACACTTCTGACCTCACACCTTGGGAGATGATGAACACTGGAATCAGACTCTGACTTCTCCTTGGCAGGGCCAAGCGCTGGACACGCACCTACCGGGGGAAAGCCCTGCCCTGCAGGACCGGCCTGCAGAAGAAACAGCAGCACCAAGAGGCAAACAACTGACCCCAGGCCATGCCGCCAGCGCGGGTGGCATCCTGCACCCACCAGCTCTCGCCGGGGCCGGCTCATTGCCTGGTTAAGAAATACCGTGACTAGAAATGCCACTGGGGACAGCCTGCAATGGAGCTTCTAGTATTACCGCCTCCAGCAGAGCTGCCTGGTAGGAAAACAGTGCTGATATTTCTGTTTTAAAAGCAAAGTGCTCTGTAGACAGCCTGTATTTCCAAGGAGGGGGAATATCTAATCACCTCTGGAGAGCAACCAGGACATCACGCTTTCTCTCTGTAATGATAATGATTTCTAATAGTATCACTCTCTTTCCATTCCTACTCTCATGGGATCGTCGGAACTGAAAAGGACGTGTGTGTTTTGTGTAAGCCTTGAAATGCCGTGGCCTGGCTGAGTGGGAAACGCTGCTGGAGCTGGCGGAGTGTGAATGTGTTACTCTGCTGGGGCAGATTATATCGGAGATTGATACAGGAAGCGAGAAAAAAAAAAAACCACCCAGTGGGGGAAACGAGAAGGGAAGGAGCTGTGTGCTCAGGGATTGGGTTTCCTCCTGCACGCTGGAGCAAAGCACAGAGCCCCACCAACTGCCTGGCTTGCTGGGATCCTGTCACGCTGCGGTACCCAGGGGGGCTCACACAGGACCCGGGGGCTCCTCGCCCACGCAGGAGCTCGGGGCGATCCGCAGTTGCGTAGCTCAGCTCTCCGTGCTGCCCCGCCAGGCGAGCCTTGTGCCGAGACGAAGCGATTTGCTGAAGGTCACAGCAAAGAGGGGACATGGGGTGGAATCTGATCTCTAGCCATCGCTCTCTTCACAGGGCTGTACAGAGAAACGGGTAGGGGACTGACAAAAACCGGAGCTGTTTACTTGTCCAACCAGGCAAAATATCCTCATCCCCATTTTACAGATGGAACACAGAGATCTGGAAAGAATGAAGATCCCCTGAGCCTTAGGGCTACTGTTTTATCCACAAAACCACACAAAAGGTTTAAAGTCCAAACAGACTAAAACCAGCTTCATCCTCTCGAGTTGCTGGCACCAATTCCTCTGTGCACTTCGGTACAGTCTTCTGGTGGAGCAGAGGTGCCCGCTGTAACAGCAGCACCCAGATGAGACCCTCTCAGCTACCAGCAGACCCAGGGGTTGGAGGGACATGGCACATGGTTGCTGGCTTTTTCACTGCCACCTAAGTAACAGGTATTCTGGTATTCTCCCAGAGGACCAGTTCATGGGGACATGCTGAGGAACCAGGGTAACAGGATGACAACCAACCTATATTCCAGTTCTCCTAATGGGACAGGGAAAAACCATTGCAATTCTACATAGGAACCGCCGTTTCAGATTCCAGGAGCTGGGCAAAGCCCGATGCTTGCATGGCCCAGGAAGCCCCAGTTCAACTCCCGGCACTGCCCCGGGTGTGCAAAGCGATCACAGCGAGACACCCGCACGCAGCTCAGCTGCCTCCTTCCCTGCAGGATTTAGGCAGCAGCATCAGCAGTTACGGCGTGGGGACAGCCAACATTAATCCTCCGTGTAGGGTCAAAGGGACCACGAACACCTTTGGATGAGGGCAGACTGTTCCATATTTTTTCCATTTCCATAGTGGCACCAGAAATATTGAAAAGGACACCTGGGAGCACCTCCTGTACTGTCTGTCCATAACCAAGGTTTCAGTTTGGCAAAGTTTTTATTTTCAAAGCACATGCAACAGCAAAACTTTAGCAGTAAAATGACAGTAGATGGCTTCATCCATACCTGACACATGGCCATTCTGGAGTACAGCAGAGAACACCTCCTAGGTGAAAAAGTTTGGGTTTTTTTGGTTTTTTTTTAAATAAATATGGTATTTCTTACCTTTAAATCCCAGATCCACTCATTCTAAAACCACGCTCTTTCTCCAGCCCAGACCAACTGGGTGTGGAGATGGTGCAACTCTGTGACCTGCATCTTCCAGACACTCAGTGATGATTATAAAGCTCCTGTCTGGCCCTAAAACCCGTGAATGTTACACATTTTGGCCCCAGAAATGAAGATGACTGCTCTTCCAAACTGAACCACAGGCATCTCCTTGGGACCTTTAATCAAAGCGGAGTTTGCCAGGACAGCGCCCCGTACTTGCAGGCCATCCTGAAGCCTGGCTCTATTATGACTTAGGAGAAAACCACAACCCTCCCGCTTCAGCACCACTTTCTGCCTCTGAGAGTGAAATCCGTGGGTTTTGTGAGCCATCATCTCTTTTCAGGTTCCTCTCCCAGCTAAAGGTTCACAAAAATTCTTTGGTTTTGCACAAACCCTTTCCACTCACATGCAACTTAGCTTCAGCGTGCTTTTTGCTTGATACAGCCGTATTTCACACGCTGTCCTTGCTCTTGCAGTGATCCAGAATATTGCTGCTGCGAGAAATGCCACAAAACTACCAAACACCTTTGCAATTAGCTGAACCGTACCGGAGTTTCAATCACGAGTGAATTGTTTAAAACAGATTTTGAGCATTCATCTCTTTTTTTTGTACAGTACGCACTTTATTGCGGAGAAGATTGGATGCATTTTTAAAACAAATTCAGGAGTTGCACCATTTCCGGGCATTTCTATGAAGTGTCGCCCACAGCAACTCGAGGACAGTGGAGGCCAGACAAACGGTAAGAGGGAACTCAAATCCCTGTTGCCTGCAATCACTTGAGAGAATCAGAAAAACTTGCAACTGAGTATTTAAGAGCCATGTAAAGCAGGTGGCTCTGCTCTGTGAGCACCTCCACCAGCAGAACAGGGGTTAACCGTGTCACTCCTGATTTACACCAGTGTAATGAGACCAGAAGCTGGGTTCGTGTCATGAAAACAGCCAGTGAAGCTTTGAAGCCAGCGTGCTAGGCACGCGGTGGCAGATGGGTGACGTTTCCTGGAGGGCTTTATTTGGGATCAGATCAGAGACAGTGTCTCCCATTTCAGGTATCCCTGTATCTCTGGATCGATGCACAACTGTGCTGCCCAGTCCCTCTCCCCATGGGAAAGAAATTTTGGCAGGAAAACGCATCAAGTCGTAGCAGGCACTGCCACAATAAACCATACCACAGCCTGTGCCTCCCCTGGAAGCTGCTGCGCTGGAAGCGTCCCAGCGGGTCGCCGCCAGCCCCGGGGAGGCTGAGGTTAGCCACGGCCCCGCAGTGGGATCACAAGCACATTAGACTGTGGCTAGAAATGTTCTTCAGCATATCAGTTAACAAAGATAATGCATTTTCCTAGTGAGACCATCCACAATAATTGCTTTTGAGAGACACTGGCTGCCATTTGACCATTGTAATATTAGACAAAAATCCCCGACTTTTTTTCTGTAAAAGATGTTTCCTCACCAGTGACACAGCCCAAGTAAGGCTTCCTATCTGGGCCACCACGGCGTGATATTAAATACAGTCCAAACTGTCTGTGATATTAAACACAGTTCAAACTCTTGATGCAAGTCCAGAGCTTGTCCGAGGACACAGAGACTGAATGGGCTGGCACAAGACACATTAGCACAGAAAAGCCTTAAAGCTGCCAGACTCTCAGGTCTGGTTCTCACCTCCTACACCTTTTCAAAGCTTCACTGGCATAAACAGTAATGGCAATTTTTACCAGCGGAAGATCTGACACGCAGGGCTCAAATTCTAATGACGTAAAAGCACACGGGAGTCAGAAATTCCCCGTGACGGATGTACAGTAGAATGGCTCAGAGTGTGTTCAAGGTATATGCTACAGAGGAGCTGCTCATCTGCAAGTTGTTCTGTTATTTAAATGCTGATGTGTAGTGTGCTGAAAGACAGTTTTCTTTACTCCCTTAGCATTGTGCCAGCAGTACGAAAGCTAAAAATCTATTGGGGTGAATGGGAACCTTGGGAAAAGTAACTGATTGAAAAAAGCCTCAGGAGCTGAAGGCTTCTGTGTAATAATCAGAGCGGGGAGGCACGGGTCAAGAGAAGAAGAGTTCACCCAACCCACCATGTGCCTCAAAGCTTAATTTGGAAAGGATGCTCGGGGAGCAGGGGTGATAAATCATTCATCTGTCGCCTCCTGACGGCTTTGCCAAGGCTGCCAGTGCTGGCGGACAGTAAGTGTGCGCATGTGACTTGCTAACTGAAAACCTACCCACGAGATGAGAGACCACGACTCGCGGAGACTTTGGAAGGCCGTCCCGAAGTGATGTGCTTCTGACATAGGCTAAATTTAAATCTGTGATGTGTGAGTGAGCCTGAGGCCCACGAATGCTTTAAGCTCTCGACGTCTATTCCCTTGCAGAAAATAGAAAATTATCACATGAAGTGGTCGCTAGGCACAAATGATTCTTTTTCAAACACATCCCCACAGGTTTCCCCCTTGTAATTACTAAAATATACTACCTGATGTGTCTCGAGGATGACAAGTAATTGACATTTAAGGCAATCTAATTTCCATAGCCCTCCCATGATTTCCACCAAGCAGATCGCCTTTGTCTTCCTTCTCGAGGAACGATTTCTTGCACGTGAACATGACAAGCAGCAGCATTGGCAAATGCCACAGACTGCAGAAGAAGAGCTTCCTGGAGCTGCTGCGGTCTGCATCCCTGTAGAACCGAAAGCCGAGGTAGGAGATGTAGAGGTTAATAGGGAGCGAAATGACAGGGAAAGTCCACGTGGTGATGTCGAGCACAGGAGCCACCATTGAGAGTCCGATTAAGGCCAAGCAGTGACGCAGAGCCACCCGCCTGCACAACCCCGGGTGGGTGACGGACATCATACAGTATCCTCCTCGGGAGTAATCTTCCCGCAGACCCCAGCTCAGGGCGTTGAAGTGAGGGAACTGCCAGGAGTAGAGGATTCCTCCTAACAGTAATGCACCTGCAGCAGGAGAGAGAGAAGGGAAGATGCATTAGAGGGCCACTGCAAGACATGCTGTGTAAAGACCTCTGCAGATTCGGGTGGTAGTTGCAAAAAAGCAGTGTATGAACCTCTCACACCGTGCTACGCAGACGACGAGCCATGCCCTGGAAGATAAGGCACGCTCTGTTTTTAACGGCATTTACATAGGGTCACGCACAGTGGTTGTTCTGGTTTTGGAGCATGCAATTTGAAAAGCATTTCAGCAAGTGCCTTCCTCCTAACGAACCATCGCTAATTGGTTTCTGCACCAATTTAGTCTCTACCTGAGGGAAGACTGATGGAAACGAAGCAAAGCTGGGCAAGAGTCTGCTGTCCTGGGAGCCTCTAGCGTCCACCCCTGGGTTCCCGAGTTGGTGCTTTTGAAGCAGAGCGTCACATGGACCAGAAACGGGGAGCCCTGCTCAGTGACAGCAGGAAGGGGGGACAAGCTGCTTCCTCCTGAGAACTGGGGAAATCCCAGCACCCTGGTAGCCTGCAGCAGGGCTGAGCTTTCTGTTTGCCCATTGTGTGGAGGAAGGGAATCGCCAGCGGCAGGGGATCACCTTGATCACCAACCTCGGGCAGGCGGCAGAACTGACAGAAGCTGCTAACGAGGTGGCAGAAGACAGAGAACTTTTTACTCCTTCGTAAACCAACTGTAGTAACTTCTAAGTAGCTTGGTTGAGTAACGCTACTCACACCAATTAGCTACTTTAAGATTTAAAAACGAGCTATGGAAGCACCACATTTTTCACAGCTATCCTTGGGACATGAGGATTTATCGAGGCAGAAGCAGCTTCAAGGAGGCCCTCAGACTAAACTCCCTTCACTAATTTTGTCTGAAGACACAAAAAAATCCCTCAAGGCTGTTGCACATTATGAGCATTCCTGGATTTTCCTTTTGTTTCCCCAGCTCCCAAACACTCCGTGCCAGCATTAACACTTTCTTTGCATCTCCCTGCCTCCATGAGCTCATTCTCTATGGAAACTACTTCTCAACTGGAGCCGTGAGTCTATCACTTTCTTAATGACTCAATAGAAACAGAAACACTTATCTGCACACAGGTTAATGTATTTGAATTCTTCCCCAAATGCTCACTTCTTCCCCAACATCTGCTTGGTCAGAGACCAAGTCGCTGTCTCCTTTGAACTGCTCCACGGTTCACGTCTTCTCTCCATCTGTTCCGGCTGTAGGTTCCTTGGGGCTGTGCCTGTCTAGTTCTTGTCTTAAACAGCACACCTTACACAGGTGGTGTTATGCACATAGTAACAACCTAAGTTTGCAAAAGAGCCTTTTTTTTTTGGCCCTAACTTATCAACCAGTGAAGGAACAGCCTGTTAGACTTCAGGCGGGTTTCCAGTTGCTTATAAGATCCTGTAGTGGCATAAAAGACCCATCTCATCGCTTTTTAAAATGAGTAACAAATAGCCCATGAGATGAGCACACGCCTCTAAAAGCTGATTACATGAAGCTTGGGGATGGACACTCGTACATTGGGTGCGCAGCTTCCAGAACATCGCCTGCTATGGATTACAGGTGATCTCCTGGACTACGGCCCCAAACGCTTGCAGATCCTCCCATTTGATCCTACTGACATTGACTTTCGGGGTGTGGATGCTCCTTCTCTAAATCGGCACCTTTTAAGATGGTTCAAAACAGTGCACTCCAAAATTACAATTAATTTCAGAAAATGATGGCAACAGAAGTAATTTTGGCCCTAACAAAACAGGATTTGATTCAGTTCTGCTGAAACGCAAGGAAGTGGCTCTACTGAAATAAACTGAAATAAAACTTAACCGAGGAGCAGTAATCCCTACACCAGGAGAAACAATGAGGGAAATGCTCTTGCAATATGTCATTCTTTAGCTTTTTCCTGTTCTTGTAAAACATATTACCGGAGGCAAGATCCCGAATTTGATAAACCTCAGATAGGAATATTTTTCAAGTTTCACATCTGAAGTGCTTTAGAGACATTAGCTTGTCATTTTTCAAAACTTCGGGAAAGGTAAGCTACAATTATCCATCAGCCGAGGACACTTAAGTAGATGGAGCCCGGGCCAGGATGGAGAGGCAGAGGCCGCCCCTGCTTCCCACGGCTACGGACCAGCCGGCTTTTCATCTGGCAGGCGCTGCGTCCCTGTGTTTTGGCTGTAACACGGGCTTTGCTTATTCAATTGTTCAAACATTGTGTGCAGCCAAGCTCAAAGCACACCCTAAACCTCAAACACACAAAACCCTTTAACAGTTCTCTAACTATAACACCATTAAAAAAAAAAGTCATCTGGAGAAACTTTTAAACGCAAACAGACCAACTAAACTACTTGAGGCTGGATTCCCATTTACAAAGCTCTGGTTTTTACATGCAAGCCTTTGGAATTTAATTACTTTGATTACATTACAACCATTGAGATAATTGATATTTTACAGAGAAGCTGAACAGTAAAACAATTTAATAGCCCATTATGAGGATTTTAACTGACCCGAGCTTTCTGTTGGTTTCCCATGTGCCTTGGACATCCTGTGATCTCCCCTGCCCAGGCTGAGACTGTCAGGTTGTCAGAGGATTTTAAGTGTCACGTAAGACTGATGACTTGCAAAGCACAGCCCGTGGTACAGTACAATTCAGCATCAAATGAGCCCACAGTAGGAATCCTGTCAAGCCCAGAGCAGACACTGTAATACTCATTAATTACTAGATGAATGTTAACTATGTCATAATTAGGTCAGCAGTGTTCTTAAGCAATATTACAGCAAGACTAACTCCGGAGACTAACCTGGTTCAAAACAGCGCGGAGTCTACTCTGCTGCTTCTGTGCAGTTCCCAGCAGTTTGGGAACTCAGTTTAATCAATGCAAATCTCCTTTTTCTCTACAGAGTTGATAATGAAGTGAAGAGCAGACGAGGTCATTCACAACTGTAACACACGGAGCGGGGACAGAGCTTGCCAAAGCTAAGCCGGCCGTCGGAGCG